GACGGGTACTGGAGACGCCTATCATGCACACACAGCTGCCTACCCACGAGTTTGTCAACATGTGGGGGAAAGAGATATGTGTCACTTCGTCACACTTTTTGTGTGAAAAAATCCAGTCCATCAAGAAGTAACTTACTCAATTTCGCAAATTGATTATAAGTATTAATACTTATAATAAGCATTATCGTGAAGTGATTTTCAATTCTGAAAAGCCTTGTGTTGACCATTAATCACAAGTAACTTGAGTTCTTACTTTCCGGTGGAAAAACAATGCAAAAGGATGAGTGTATAGAATATGCTATGTGTAATATGAGACTGACCACACCAGTTTTTGTTTTTTTTGTACCACTAAGTCTTTTAGTTCACCAGTAGGACCTATTTATCAAATGTAAAATTTAGCAAAAGTGAAGTAGATTTAAAAAAAAAACAAAAACAGAACAAGCACACTTCCTTCTTAGGCACAAAATTCTCTACATTTCAGTCGAAATAATAATATTTACTCATAATTCAATGAAGAAAAATAGCTTTAATGTTTACAAATGCTGTCCAATACACAATTTCAGCTTTGTTTGCTGCTAAGTACAACCAAACTCAGTGACAACAAAGACAATGTAAATTTTTCAATAATTGCATTTATAGATTGACTACTCCTACTTGTAACTGAAGTTGATATAACAACTACTACAAAACTGTAGATAAAAATAATAAACTTTAAAAAAGACACACTCATCACATGATGATCATATTCTCTTCATGACAGTTTAGATTAGATTATGGAGGGACAGACATTATTGATAATGGTACATTTCATTTCAGTATCTTGATAAATAGAAATCTACTTCTGGTAGATTCTACAGCTTCAATGCAATAACACGTACGGACATCTGTTCACACATCAAACAAAGGTAGTTAAATAGGCCACTTAGTTAAACTTCCAAAACTGAAGATTAAGAAAAGGGCAGTTGTTCCTCAAACTGTATTTTTAAGGCACAATCACTCATTAGGTTTGGCACCCACATTATTATTACAGTATTTACATACATTAAGTAAGAGTTGACTTCAACTTCTCCATTACAATGATGTGTAAAACTAATTTGAGCCCATTTCCCTTTTAATCTTTTCAGTCACTTCTTCTGCACTCAATTTTCCTTGAGCAACAAGGATTGTCTTATTTCTTGATCGTGAACCCTGAATGAAAAGAGTACATTTTTACATTCTGTCCACAGTATTAAATAAATTAACTGAGCAATGAGAAATAAATTTGTTTGCTTCACCTTATCTAGGCTAACATCTCCTTTTCTTAGGCCTAGAACTTCAGCAATGTACCTTACAAGTTCTGTATTTGCTTCACCTTCTACTGGTGGAGCAGAGATCTGTACTCCAACACCCTCATCACTTATATCTGTAAAAGAGAAAAAACAATGAATAGTAAAACTCTATTTATCTATTATGATAACATTGCAAGACAATAGTTTAGTGGCATACCTGTGATGTTATTTTTCTTTGCTCCTGGCTTAGCATGTATTTTCACAGCAATATCTCCCGTTTTTGTAACAAAAATTACATTATTTTCACTGTTTTCAGCCTGCACACAGAAAAAGCAATAATTGTAGCTCAGAGGTTCAAAAAAATAGTTAAAATGCATAGAAAAATCAAAAGCAATTTATGAATAAAATATATAGACTGTGAGAGAAAGGCAAAACCAAAATCCTCATTACTGAACAAATTTTACCCAGTCAGTCAGCTGTTTCTGTGGAACCATATCCATCATATCTGAGGAACATCCTTCAGATGTACTACATTCAGAAATAGCTCCCGTAGCTTGAGATTGTAGAAGACGACAGTGCTCCATATATTCATCATATGTGACAGAAATCTTCTCACTCTTGTAGCGAGTCAACTTGATGGCGCTACGTATCTCTGGGGTGACAGCTCCCTTAAACCCACCCTTACGAAGAAGAGAATCAATGGTCTGAATCTGATCCCAGCCCTGTTTCGGAGCAACTTCTGGCAGATAAGTAGCTGAATGCCTGACACCTCTGTCACTGTGGTATTCAATGCTGATTCCATGCACTCCTACTTCCCAATCGAGATAATCAGAGCCATCTTCAAAGTGACGTAACAATGAAACAGCCACTCTTAACTTGGGAAGCTCATCTTGAGTGATTGGGCTGAATCGAGAATCCTTCACAGCACTGGTAACTGCATATTCCCTCAAACCTAAATGTAAATTTTTGGCACCAAAAGTACCAATACAGCCTCGTAAGCGTCTCTCCTTTGAAGTTTCCCAAGTCACAAAAATGGGATATGGGTCATTGCAGAAGTCTGGAGCTTTGGGTGGTTCAAGGCAGTTTAAGTGAGAATTAAGTACATCAAAGCAAAAAAAACACATCTCAGGCCGGGCGACAGTGCCATTCTTCAAACCATTGGGTGGCACAGCTGATCCATTGCATGCTAAGCTTGATGAGTTATTTAGCTTTTGCTTCTTCGTCCCGCAATTTTGGGAGGCCATCTCATTCATTAAAATTCAAATACACTTCTTCTCAACACCGCAGTAATCATAGCCAATCGAGCCAAACAAGGCAAAAGTCACAGCAGCCGACTGTCCTTAACCTCGCCGTTTATTTATTTACCTTCTGAGGAGCAGCCCGAGCTGGTTTTGAGCTCTTAGGAGGCATGGGCGATGGTTTAAAGTGTTTCTTCTGGCACGCAGAAGACACGGAAAAGAGGCGCTTCAGCATAAATAAAAGAAAACTAAAGAAAATGGACACACAGGCGGGTGTTTAACTTAATCAAAAATCAAATCCACTTTCCCCTCTCCCCCCCTCCCCTGCTTTCGATTTTGATTTGCTACCCAACTAACTATCTATGAGAAATTTGAAGTTACTAAATTCTCATACTCCTCGAAGATAAGCGCGCAATTCAACCACAAAATAGCCGACCAAACTTTTCGCGACCACTCACAAAAATGTAAGTAAATCATACAATAGAGGATAATTCTCTCTCATGTTAATTTATGAGGATTCTTCCTGAAAAAAAAGTGCTGCTTGATTATTCATACTGAACTCACTAGACTGGGCGCAGTAGACTACATGCAGGTACTTCTGCTGTTGCTCTCGTGTGATGCTGACTCTGACTGACATGGAAGAGATGGTAGAGAGCCCTTCTTTGTCTCTAAGTAACGCAAGTTAGTGCTGAAGAAAAACAACCTAAAAACAAGAGAGGAAAAATTAATGACAAGCTGAGACACGTGCCTATTCTGTTTTCTGTTAGGAATTGCAACAGCTCAGGAAAATGACGAAAGAATAAGATGAATAAGATGAATGATTTCATTTGACGATCTGGAAATCCTTTTAACTGTAATCCTTTTAAAAGAAAACATGTATTTACCATTCCATTGATTTCATGAACGGGATTGGCACAGCAATGCGCCAAGAAGACTTTTTGGGTGTTTTTCAAGATGAACTAATTGTATTATCCCATTTCCTAAACGGTAGCATGTGTTGAACCCTCTAGTACACGCCTGCTGATTTTTCTGGTAACGCTCAGATGTAAAGAGCTGAACTGGTAGGGCGATTTGTGAGTGCAGACGCTTAAAGTGGCCATGAATAGGCACCTTACCCAAGCATGACAAGTCATCTATTCTTGAACTGAACAGCAATACCACTTGAGACGTGAAAACATAAAGAAAACAAAAAATAATAATTAGAACAGTCTGTAGCTCATATGCATCTTTATATCTTTATGTCTAGTGTCAGATGGAAGAAAAGTATCTCACTTTCTTTCAGCTCTTCATGACAAAAGTGACGCTTACGCCTAGGGTTTTCAAACACAGGGATGAGATTCTGTTGCCCACTTGCATCTTCCTCCACAGCATACAGAGGAATATTGCTTATTAGTTGGTTTGGTGGATTAGGAAGCAATTTGGTCGGAACTGCTTTTGACTTCAATTTCACACCACCATAGTCACTACATGTCTCCATCTCTTCAGTAGAAAAGTGACCCTAAATATAAAACACATGAAAACAAAATCACAGGCTGTTGCAACAGAATACACAATTCAGAGATAAAAAACAGTTACAACAGCTACGAAAACTGTTTTCAAATCAATTACCTTCTTAGCGGAATAGGAATTAAAAATTAATCTTACATCACACAGAAAAGCAAGTGGACTAGTTGTATGCGGCAATCCACATGTTTCTAACCATTTTAATTGGTTTCTTCTACGCTTGGTTATAGCAAAAAATGTATAACCATCACGGTCGGAGTTTTTGCAGTCCTTGAACGCGCAGGTTTTCCTAATCCGAGCACTCCTTGAAAAACTCATGTTAAATCATTTCCTGGAAGAAATGTGTCATCTGCAGGCATCTCGTGACATCAGTACTTAAATTAAATAAATAACTGCAAAATTTGTGAAACGGCGCCACCAGCAGCAGACGAACGTAAATAAACAAACTGGACATCTGTCTGTGCTGTGAATAGGATGCATGTCGTTAATGGCAGTTCTCGTCACGTTACATTTTGATCTACCTAGCGCAGATTGTTCAGTTCAGATCTCAGATCAGGGTTTTTTTTCCTGATAGAAGGTATCTAACTCAAAAATTATAGAGCAAAAAGAGATTTCTTCACTGATCAATTTGTGAACTTATTATCAAGTACTTCGAGATTTAGAGGACGTTATCCGCAGGACTCGTTCGCGTTCGTTCGACAAATCCGCCTCCTCCTGAACCCGAGGTTTTGATTGGCTAGGCTCTGGTGGGTAGCAGGCGCCGATTTTCCGTTTCGCGTAGAATGTTAATGAATGAATGAGAATGAATGAATGAATCAACATTCGTGATTCATCGGGGATGTAACCGCTCGTCATTGCTGAAAAGGTCTAAGTCCAGATCATGTCATTTTATTTCAAGTACATTTTGAAAGATGAATGTTGTTGAATCTATGTGCGTCTGTCGCATGTCATAGGTTCCCAATTAAACTCTGTCAAAGCTACCGTTGTTTAATTCTGCACAAGTTGGCAAAAAAAAAAAAAATAACCTAACCTGATGACATGACATGGGCTCCACTTAGTTTCGGAGAGACATTTTCATGTTGTTTGACTCTTTGACCATCGGCATGACTACCTTTTGTCATGAATAAGGGTTGTCATTTTTTCCATACACCAAACACACAAAAAATGAATGTCAATTTAATATCTGTGTTGTATTTGTGATAAAAGATATACGCACTTCATCACAATTACATTTGGTTTTAATTAGATGTGTGTGTACAAATTCTTTTATGATGCTGTTTTGCTCTGTCATTGCAGGCATTAAAATATACTGTGCAATGGGTGCTGTCTATGGCAAGGAAGGGTCCCCTAAGCAGGACAGTCCTGAAGAAGAGCCAGATCCTAACAATGGGTTACTATTGAATGAATTTTATCTGCCTCCTGAGGTACTCGCTCATATCCTCAGTTATCTGCAACCAATACTGAATGGAAGGCGTGTATGCAAAGTATGGCGTGATATAATTGATACAGTTGTATGGCGAGAAAAGGTACACATTCAGGATTCTCGTAGAATTAGTCTCAGTCGATTTGTATATCACTGTGCAATTTTTATATTGTTTAGGTTTTAAGAGAAGTTCCTGGAGCAACTACAACATTATTTCAACACAAGGAGCTGAAATGGCCAGATTTTTATCATCTTTGGCTAAACAAACCACATGAAAAGAATCTCATTAGGAATGGTTCAGCAGAGGGTAAGCTGAAGATGATTTTTATATTTCTTGGTGGTATAATTTTTAAATTTTAAGTGTGCAACTTTCTTTTTTTTATGTATATATCATCACCTAATGTAGCACTTCTTTAAAGGCTAAATTTAAGATGAACTTACATATCCCTAGAATTTTCATTGTAGCACTTTGCTTGCATTTTCAATTCTCTGTTTGTGTTCTCCTTTATCAACACAAGTTTCAAACATCTGGTCAGATTTTATATTTACATTATGTTTTTCAGAAGAGTTTGAACATTGGTCTGCTAGACCAAACACATTTGGTGGAAGCAATGGCAGCAAATGGAAAATTGAAAAAAAGCCTATTGGATGTGATCCATTTCCTGCTGGAATAAAGCGTTGCTTTGTTACTTCGTACGACTGGTGCTCTGCTGAACAAGTGATCAATCTGTTTGACTGTGGACTATCTCCTAATTTTATGAAATATGTTCGCCCCGATATACACATTGAAGAATGGTGACTATATACCTCATGATTTATTGCCATTAATGGTAAGAACTGTAGGTTATTTTAATTTTTGTACTATTGTTTTCTTAGGTATGCTGGCAGGTTCGACTGCGGCTTTAGATACTGCCTAAAGGTGACACTCCTGAATAGATTTTTGGAGGCTGTGGACGATTTTGTATTTGAAACTACTGGTCACACTTCTGCATGGGCCAAGGTATTATTAAAACATTGATTTAAAATGTTCTACAGTAAAATGCAACCTTACCATGAAAATATTTTATTTTACAGGTCGAACATGTCTTTTCCAACTATGATCAAGAGGTTTCGAGTATTTTATTCCACCATAAAGGGAAGGACACTCAATTTTGGGCTGGACATTATGGCTGCAAGGTTACTGGCGCCAAAGTCTTTGTGACCTTACCTGGTCTGGAAGACAAAGGGAGCTGTTAAAACATTGGAACCATTTGTAAGGCTATTTTTTAGAAAGCTGCGCTTAAGACAAAATAGACTTCAGCTGACAAAAATATTTCCTACCCTATCTGAAGATGCTGGAACTTATCTGCAAAGTGATACCTGAAACTATACAATTTCCGCCTTTAGTTTTGTTTTCTGTGTTAAAAGTGTTACCTCACTAGTTTGTAACTTATTTACTTTGGTTTTAACTTTCTACTATAAATATGAAAACCAAGATTTGATTCTGTGATGTAGATTTAGCAACTGGTGATAATGAACATGTCTGGAACATTTTTTTCTGAAGTATGAATATAATATGAACTATTATGACTCATTGGTTAATGTTTTATCAAAATTCTTGTAGTTTTAGAAAAGATTAAAACTGTTTCCAAACTCACATGCTGTGAGAAGAGAAAACAGATATTTTCTGCAGTGTCAAAAGTTATAATCTTATTTGTTTGTTGAAGATTTGATCCATTCCGTACAAGTTATATAATACTAAAATTTATTTTGTTACATCTACTGTGAGGCTCAATGAGTTGCTCTATCTCAGTTATTTTGACAATCTAATCTGTTGTTGTTTTTAAATCTGAATTTCCTATATTTATTTCTTCTTTTGGTAAAACTAGATTTTATGTCCGATTATTGTTGTAATTTACTTGAAATTTTATTGCTAGCCCCTACATCAATTATCCATTAATCTGTATTCGCAATTATTTTTCTCTCTATTTTTTTAAAACTTATTCTTTCGTTGGAGTTGAATGGAGGGGCTTTTCCAATTTTTTGACCCAAATGCGGTTGCCCTCCTTTTCTTACTGTCCTATGTTTATTATTATTAAATGAGGCCATCTCTTACTCGTGTTCACGTTTCCCTCACTTATCTCCGGCCGCGTAAGCCCAAGCCGCCCAGGCCCAGGCTCGGCGCCACACGGCGGGGGAGTTTGCCGGGCCGCGGTGTTCGGAGGCAGCCTGGCTGCACGACAAAGAAGGCTCGCTCCAAGCTGCTCTTATTAATTAATTAGAGGACGTTCTCATTAATAGCCCTCCGCGCGAGGGCTGCGTCCGAGAGTGCTGTTCGGGCGGGGCGTGAGGTGCAGGTGCGCCGCGCCGTTATCGCACGACGCCCCTAGTTGCTTTCTGGAGGCGTCCTCCCTTCGGCTGGCGGTTGGATCATCTTCGCAAGAGCATGTTTTAATAAGAGCGCTCCCCCCGATTTCCAGGAAAAGTGGAAAGGCAAAGGGAAGACCAAGGTCTAGGGGGTGCGCGCACCCAAGTGAACCTATGTGTGCTGCCTTGATTGTTTTAGGAAGGAGACTAGTTACACTAGGATGTGGAATTCATGTGTCGCTGCTTCGCATTTTTCTAGTGTATTTCGACTAACGGAGCAAGAAGAAGAGCGGGTAGAACTTAAACGTTACCGATTGGCCGAGAGCTTGCCGCCTCTACGTCACGCCGGTAGCGGGGACAAGCGCTCGGCCAATCAGGAACCTTTATGTTCTATCCGCTATTCTTCATCCTCCGTTAGTCGAAATATACACTATTCAAATGTAATTCTAAAAAATAAATTACGTAGCCTAAAAGTTTGAAATAGGTGAGGCACTTCCACTTCTGTATACCGATAGCCCTCTTCTGTATACCGATAGCCCTCTGGTTGGTTTACGTAGCCCACGTTCTTCTTAAAATTGAAGCATCGCATGCAGACCGACTTCTACAGTAGTTTTCCTGTTGTTTTTGACCGCGATTCCTTACCTACAGATGAGCTACCGGCGCGCACGCTTGCATGCGAACTCAACTTTGCAAAACATGGTACGACGTAAACCGGCCCCTTTGCTCTGTTGTGGACGGGGTGGGCGTAATGGGGAACTCTTAGGCGGTGTTCAGCCTGGCTTACTGGGGCTTAGGCGCAAGTGATCAGGCTAGGATTGGGACCGCCTGACATCGATCCGCATCTGTCGGTCCCCTGCTGCTCCCGGGCCAGGACAAATGAACGGGATGAATGGTGGCGGGGGAGGTGGGCCGGGGACCGGGGGGACTGCAGTCCTGAGTGCTACCGCCAACAAGAGGGCCCTCGAACGACTCTGCACCTCTGCCTCTTCTTCCGGGGGTTAGGCTCCAAGGCGCTGTCTGGACTTCGGTCGGCTTCCGGATTTTCGCCGACAAAAGGTCCGAAAGGTCAGGCTCGTCGCCTCCCCATCTCAGAGACGTGGCGGCTCTGACCGCATGGCCGGGCTGGGCCGCGGGGGGAAGACCACGGCGTGGGAAGTGGAAGTGGAAGTGAAGCTGGCCGCTCGGGGCCGGGCAGACATCGGGGTCCACCGAGTCCACTTCGGGCTCCGAGTGGGCGAGCCTCTGTTCAATGCCCTGCCGCCTGCTGGAGGGCCTTGGAGGACCTCCAGGGAGCTCGAGCCTGAAGCAGCTGATCTGTCGCTAGGGCCGGGGCCGAGTGGTGCCGACAGCGGCCCTTCTGCTCGCCTGCTTTCCTGACGTCACTCTTCTCCTTCTCGCTGCGCGCAAAGTGTAGCCGAAGCTATACGGAGAAAACAATTTAGAGAGACGAGATTTGAAAATTAGGAACGTCTAGCCTGGACGATGAGTTCGGAATTGCCGACACACGTGACCTTGGGTTACGGTCGGTTGTTGGACGAACGACCCCTCTCATCTCCTCGTGCCCGGGGGAGTCCCCACCGGTCGCCACCCCGACCTTCTGGCTCCGTCCTGACGGCCTCGGGGGAGCCGATGGGGATAGCCGGACCACATGACGGGGCACATATTGGCGGGCTTCAGCGTCATTTGTGGCCCGGCTCTGTCAAGTCAAGTCATCCGCAGCATGAGACGCACCCCCCGGAGCAAGCCCCCCCGGCGGGAAGCAGGGAGAGGAAGGGGGGGGGGGTGACCCGGGCCGGGCCGCCCCAACGTCATTGGTCTCCTATCAGCGTGAGTAAGCCCGCGTGCGCACGGTGAGTTGGAGGGGGTGAGGGGGCAGGGGGTGCGGGATAAAAGGACGCGTATTTATACTGCTGGCTGCGATTGCTCGGCGTTGTGCAATGCGGGTGGCCGTCTGCTGGAACCCCAAGGGGACACTGGCCGGGCTTGGACCACGAGACGGTAGCGTGTATGGTGTGGGGATCGTATGAATGTTGGATCCCATTCTATGCGGTCAGTATAAAGTTGTTCTCGCCAGGTCCGTCTCCCCCTTGTGGTAGGCCCGGGTACCGCCACTCGCCCTCGCCCCTTACTAGTGCAGCGTTGTCCGCTCGCCCAGAGCACGGCGGGCATGGCGGGCACGGCGGTCACCCCCGATGACATCATGCCCCGGCCGGGGCCGCCGTGGCGTGCGCAGCGTGCGTGGGGGGCCGCCCGCACCCCCACCGTCTCGCTGACAGTGTAGGTCTGGCGTTTCTAAAAGTCGGTCCGTTTGGCTTTTCGCAATCGGTTGTTGTAGTGCCGAGTGTGCACTGAGTGCCGTACCGGCCCGTCTCCGCCCGCCCCGCGCCGCCCTCGCCTTGAGCAGCCGGGCCGGGCGCCACTGCTGAATGTGCACTAGCGGCGTGGATGTTGTGTGGAACCGCGTGCCGTACCAGTGGCGTGGTACACTTCGTGAGCGGCGCGACAGTTCGATTTGGGGCCGCCGCGGGCATCCCACGCTGTCTTCCCGACGGAGCATCGCGGGCGCTCCGACGGGCACCTTGTCGACGCCGCCTTTCCGACGGGCACTTCCTTGACATCGTCTTTCCGACAGGTACATCGTCGACATCCTATTTCCGGCGCGTACCTCGCGGACGCCGCTGCCTCACCGCCGGGCACCCCGCGAACTCCGCTTTTCCCGACGCGCCACTCGCAGACCCGACAACGTTTTGGAACTGGACGTCCAGGACCTCGAGGCGCTCATGGCATGAGGAAACCCGCAGCCCGCAGCCACCAGCGCGGGCGTGCCCCTCGTCACACGGTCGTCACGTCGCGTCACGGCCCACTGAGTGTGAGAGTGACGGGCCGGAGTGGAGCCGGAGCGAGGGGGCGGAGATCGCTGAGCAGCCAGGGAGTGACGAGAGACTAGGCCTTCCTCCGGGAAAAGGTCGAAGCCGAGTGAAGTGCTCACGGACTGAGTGACGCGATGCTGGTGCCGCTGCTGGCCGTGCTGGCCGGTGCCGTGCTTGTGCACGCGCAGGCCCCCCGCCGCCCGCACATCGTCGTGATACTCGCCGACGACCTGGTGAGTTGAGTGAGCGAGCGAGCGAGTGAACAGTAGAGTGAACGAGTGAGAGTGATGGGGCGTGCGTGTGCGTATAGCTTGGGGATTGGGGTAGGACCGTGCTCTCGCACGCGCTGGCACCCCACGACCGCCCACGCATCGTCCTGATACTCACAGACGACGGCCTGGTGAGTGAGTGAGCGATAGCCGGCGATAGCGAGTGACAGTGGAGTGAACGAGTGAGAGTGATGGGGCGTGTGTATTACTTAGGGCTTGGGGTAGGACCGTGCTCTCGCACGCGCTGGCACCCCACGACCGCCCACGCAATCGTCTTTGATACTCGCAGACGACGCCCTGGTGAGTGAATGGAGTCAGTGATAGCGAGTGACATTGGAGTAAACGAGCGACTGAGTCTGAGTGATGAAGCGTTGAAGCGTAGCCGTGGGGCAGGAGGGCAGGAGTGCCCCGTCCCCGTGACTGCACGCAGGAGCAGGATCCAGTACGCCATGCCCCCCCAACCTTCGCCGTCTCCCTCCTCACAGTCTTTCCTTCCTACGCGCTGGTCCTAGTTAGAATCAATTTGCTTTCAAATGAGGAAGAAGGCGAAAAAAACAGCAGCGATTATAGCCTATTACTTTCGATTGTTCCGGAGGTGGCTAAGACGTGGGACGCTTCCGCCCGGGCCGCAAGATAAGCGGGATTGCGCGATGAACCATTAATAAGATTTGCCCCATCGTTTCAGAGTATAATGCCCCCATCGGCTTTCGCGACGCTCATTTCAAAATTTAATGATTTTAACGACGTTGTGTAGGAGCAAAACACGTGGGAAGGAGGACGCAAATACGACGCGAAGTCTTGACGTCACTTTGGCTGTGACGTCAATATTTCAATATGGACCCACTTGCCTGCATCTGTAATTCAACTTTTTTTAACCTTGTTGATTATGCCCCCCACCACCCTCTCGGTTTTGCAGAACAACTCCCATGCTGAGCTCATGCTCATGATATATCTAGCTCCTTTCTTCTGTTCGATTTTTTTAAATGCCTACCTATTGTCTATTGTCTTTGGAGTGTCTCATCTAGCCTCTAGGATGATCTAGTCTGGCGTCTGTACAGCCGGTGTTGTAGTACCTAGTGACGAGCTCCCCACACCCCGTCGTCATCCTGCGCGTGGTGCGCGGTCGGGCACGACGGGAGGCGACCAGCAAATAAAACCGGGAAAATAGGGAGTGCCGCGCCGCCCCCCGCGCTGCCCCCCGCGCCGCCCCCGCGCCGCCCCCGCGCAGCCCACTGTGCCCTGACAGGTGTTTGGCGGTGCGCCGGTGTGCCCTGTAGGCCCTGCTGTAGGCTGCGCCATACCTCACGCGGAGGGATGGAAATGGAAAAGCACGGCTCGACCCGGCCCGCCCGCCCCGCCCTGCCCCGGCCCGCTCAGCCCCACACCGCGCCTCGGGGTTGGAGTGTCTATCGCGCCCTGCCAGGCGGCATCGCCGCGCCTGCGGAGACGGGTCGGGTCGGGTCGGGTCCCACCCCGGGCCCCGGGGCGCGCCCCCCACGGGAGGCAGCCGGGCCGGGCCGGGCCGGCCGCGTCCCCCGCACACACCCGCTCCTCCGAGTGACGTCCGCAACGGTCTGCTTTGTGCCGATACAGTCACACGCACTCGCCTCGGGGCTGGCCGCCCCGCCGCGCCGTTGACGTTATGCATTAAAAGTATAAAGATAAAGATGAAAAATGAGAAACGAGCATAGTAAGCTTTTATTTTTCCTTTCTTCGCAGACTGGATAGAGGACTGAATAGAAATAAATGATAAGGGCGTGAAGAGAAAACTGCAAACGACTAAGCCACGAAGTTGTAAAACGATTCCTGAAAAGTTGCGCACTTGTACCGCAGCTTTTGGACGTGCTTGTCTTATTTGCTACATGTGCGGTTTACGGGGGTCGGGAGGGGGTCACAACCCTCCCTTCCCCTTCTGTCTTCTCTAAGTCGCCTGAAGGGTCGGCAATCTGTGCTACGAAACCCCTGTGGGTAGGCAAACCACGGTATACTGTGCATCGCCCCCTCTTCTAGTCGGACTCTAAGCCACCCCTGCTTTGCTGACCAGTGAGAGTTGCGAATATAGGCATTAATCCGCCCACATTCGCACACGCGCCCATGTGAATAATGTATGTGCAAGCCAAGTTAAGCTTCGGGAACCGGCCCTCCTGTTGGCGTTTCGACAAATGTTTACTCGAGTTTCCCTTTAAGATGCTCTAAGCTCGGCTGCAGCACTCGCGCGCGTTTGCCCCGGGGCGAGGGGCAGCCGGCGCTGCAGCTGCATGTGGCGTTGTTTCCCACAACCCGCCCCCACACAAATGCGCCGGATCATGGCGACCGGTTAGTTTAATGTGCCGCACCTCCTCCCCTAGCGCCGACAGCGCCAGCCTGCACCCCGTCCCGGCGCTCTCGACAAATACTAAATATGGCGTGGGCGAGAGGCCAGTGGAGGCGAGGGGCCATCCACATGGGATTGTCTGCACGTGGGAGGCACCGGGCTCAACTACACACGTGCGTGGCGACGAAGTACCACGTTACACGTTGGCTTCACAGTAAAACTACTTCTGCGATGTGTTGCGATATGGAATGGCGCGGTATTTACGACTGGCAGCACACATTACGGAAGCACAGAATTACGCGAGTGAATTCCCTCAAAAGCTCATTGAGTGGATGGTTGAAGGGGTGGCGATGGCGAGGCGCGGGGCAGAGTAGGCACTGAAAATCAAAGTCAGAAAAATACAGAAAGTCGCGGCTGTTTCTTTTTTACAAGTTTTGTCGTCGTGGATTTTTTTGTGACACCCACTTGCCAATTGGTGAGCAAGAAAAACCTTTATAACATACTTGTAAAAAAAGCGCTACTTTGATTTAAACCGACTCCTCTCACGAAAAAGAAAATTTTTTAAAAAAATGGCATACAAAGAAATCAAAAGTTAGCGATGTGTACATGCCGGAATTCTGAATATTGAAAAAGAGCTGCCAACATTTTTATATATGTAAAAGCGACCACGGGGTAAAGAGGGAAGACAATATTTTTTACAGAGTATACGCAGGCCATTCCTCCGCCCGCATGACCTGTCTGGGAGGGGAATAAGGGGGCCCGACCCAAGATCGCGCTCTACTGAGTATGCTTCTCGTGGAGATGTGGGATCACCGCCCTCTGATTTTGGGGACGGCAGGGAGATTGAGGGGCCCGGAGCCACCCGTCCCACACGGCCAGTGCGGAGGGTAATGCGGTGAGTTATGGGGGCGAAATATATTCGTCTGCGATTGAGCCGCCGAAAGGCCAGCAGACCTCTTGTGTGTGCGCCAGCGCCTGCTGCTGTCTGTTCCGCCCGGTCCCGGCGGCGGTGAGTAGGGGCGGGCCAGGGCTGCCAGGCCAGTAGGGTCCGGCCCTGCCTGTTGTCGACACCTACAACTTACGTGAAAGTGCCTCGCCGTGCCGAGCCCTCTGGTCGCGCGGCCACGCCG